TTTACAAAAGAGAAAATAGAGTAATTTAGTCATAGAATTTAATATAGTCATGATGTGCACAACACTTGACAAAATAGAAAGACTTAATGTTCAAATTCAAATAATTTGAGGAGATAATTGTTAGGTTTAAAATATTAAAGGACTAAAGTGTAAATGATCGGTAGTTTGAGGAGATTTAATATAAATTTTTTTTTTTCCTTAACTTTTTCAAGACCAATTAGATTTCAATTGTTGTTCTTCTACTTTCACTTTAATTATTATAGTGCTGCTCTCGTTTGGCCATCTAACGGTAATTATCTCTACGTCGTTAGGCCTCTCTTTTGGCCATCCAAAAAGCAAAGGCGTATGGGCCTAGAATATTAGAATATATATCTATATATATATATGTGTGTGTGGGGGAGAATTATATTTCATTGGAAAATTTATTTTTTTTTTACATAAATATAAAAGGGTGTAAGTCACACTTATACCTTTACAATCTTTCACTTGCATCTCATCTCAAAATTACTTGTACCTCACATGTTTTTATTTGTCTCACTGTTTTAAAATAACCCTTACATATATTAATTATAAAAAAAATCAACTTAAGAGCAAAACATTTTGGAAAAATGTCACTTTTTTTAGTTGGATCCCAAACCACTCGTAACAAATGGAGAAAGGTGTTGAATTCACCCCATGTGAAGGAGGTGATGCTCTTCCATGGGAACACACCTTGGTCAACAATGGAAGGCAACCAACCAAGTCAAGCTTGGTGGCCACCAACCATGGCAAGGGTCAAGAATGGAAGCTACCCAAAGGCACTCCCACCTACTCCAATGTGTATAAAGGGAGGGTGAGAGGAGAGGCCAAAGAGAGGGTGTGAGTGAAGAAGAAAAACCGTGAACCAAAGAGTGCGAGAGATGTGAGGCGGAGAGACCGTCTCCCTCGGTGTGAGCGAGGGAGACGGGTGAGTGGCTGAGTGAGGAGAGTGTGAGCTCCTCCTCTATTGTAATCTTTCTGTAATCTCCTCATTGGTATAGTGATAACCGGTTACTCTCCCGTGGACGTAGGCATTGGGCCGAACCACGTAAAATATTGTGTCTCCTTGTGTGTGGGTGTGTTTTTCTGCTTGCAATGATTTCTATAAGGTCTTGGGCGGGATCCCAGATCCCAACAAAAGGAAGTTGATGAACGACAGATATAATGAGTAATAGATTGTACAGACTAAAATTAGAGAAGTGTCACTAATGCCACCATTATAAAGAGTGTCATTATTTATTTATTTTATTTTTTTTGTAAAGAGTCGAATTAACAACTTTACATTATAAAGTGATGTTACACAATTACTAAATTAAATGATATGTTAGACTACATTTATTTTATTTATATTTTTTTCTGTTCTTTTTCCTATTCTCAATTCTTTTTGGACCAACAACAATTTGGCACGTTGCAAAGCTTTCTATGTAAACTTTGGTGACCTTCCTCCCTCTTTTGTCATTATTAAAGTAGTCTCAAACAAATCATGTAACATTATTGATATAAAAATCTGAACCAATGGTATGACATAAATTTTTTTCCTTAAAATATGATAATTTACCATTGTTAAGTAGTTTGAAAATAAGGAATAACCCGATTAATATAAATTGTAATTTTTTAATGGATTTTTTTTTTAAGGTCTATGATATTAAGATTTTATAGCATAAAGGATATCTAATATTTTCATGATGTCTATGGTCCCTCAATCTGATCTAGAGAAATTTCATCTAGAGAATTTCTCTAGACTTGCCAGAGAAATTCTAAACTAGAGAAATTCTGGACCAGAGAAATTCTATCCAACCTAGATAAATTTCTCTGACCTTCCCTTCTTTCTAGAGAAATTTTCCTTCTCTGGCCTTCAGAGAAATTTCACACTCTAGAGAAATTTTGGAAATTTCTCTGGCCTTCTTGGCCTTCCCTTCTCTCCAGAGAAATTTCCCTTCTTCAAACCCAAAGAAATTTTCCCAAACCAAAGAAATTCCCCATCTCCAAACCTAGAGAAATTCCCCTTCACAATCTTTTCTAGTTGAACAACCAATATCGATCTATCAAATAATGAAAAGATTACGAAACCCTTACCTTGGCCAAGAGTAAACTTAAACGGTGTTCTCCTATCACGACTCGAATCGAACTGAGTACCATCAAGTAAAGTCCCAATGTAATTTTCTCTAGTATGTTTAATTTTATCTGTCATGTATAATTTTCTCTGGCATGTATAATTTTCTCTAACATGTTGCTTCTTTGTTTTCTCTGGCTAGTTGTGTGATTTTCTCTGTCATACGTAATTTTCTCTGTCAAGTTGCTTCTTTGATTTTCTCTGTCATATTGCTTCTTTAATTTCTCTGCCATGTTACTTTTTTAATTTTCTCTGCCATGTTGTTTCATTAATTTCTCTACTAGGTTGCTTCCTTGATTTTCTCTGCCATGTTGCTTCTTTAATTTTCTCTACCAGGTCGCTTCTCTGATTTTCTCTGTCTTGTTACTTCTTTAATTTTCTCTGCCATGTTACTTCTTTAATTTTCTCTGTCAGGTTGTTTCTCTGATTTTCTCTGCCATATTGCTTCTTTAATTTTCTCTACCAGGTTGCTTCTTTAATTTTCTCTGCCATGTTACTTTTTTTGTTTTTCTTTGCCATGTTGCTTCATTAATTTCTCTACTAGGTTGCTTCATTGATTTTCTCTGCCATGTTGCTTCTTTAATTTTTTCTACCAGGTTGCTTCTTTGATTTTCTCTGCCGTGTTGCTTCTTTAATTTTCTCTGCCATGTTGCTTCTTTAATTTTCTTTGCCAGGTTGCTTCTCTGATTTTCTCTTCCGTATTGCTTCTTTAATTTTCTCTGCCATGTTGCTGCTTTAATTTTCTCTGCCAGGTTGCTTCTCTGATTTTTTCTGCCGTGTTGCTTCTTTAATTTTCTCTGCCAGGTTGTTTCTCTGATTTTCTCTGTCATGTTGCTTCTTTAATTTTCTCTGCCATGTTGCTTCTTTAATTTTCTCTGCCATGTTGCTTCTCTGATTTTTTCTGCCGTGTTGCTTCTTTAATTTTCTCTGCCGTGTTGTTTCTTTAATTTTCTTTGCCAGGTTGTTTCTCTGATTTTCTCTGTCGTGTTGCTTCTTTAATTTTCTCTGCCGTGTTGCTTCTTTAATTTTCTCTGCCATGTTGCTTCTCTGATTTTTTCTGCCGTGTTGCTTCTTTAATTTTATTTACCGTGTTGCTTCTTTAATTTTCTCTACCAGGTTGCTTCTCTGATTTTTTCTGCCGTGTTGCTTCTTTGATTTTCTCTGCCGTGTTGCTTCTTTAATTTTCTCTGCTAGGTTGCTTCTCAGATTTTTTCTGCCGTGTTGCTTCTCTGATTTTCTCTGCCGTGTTGCTTCTTTAATTTTCTCTGCTAGGTTGCTTCTTTGATTTTCTTTGTCATGTTGCTTCTTTAATTTTCTCTGCTATGTTTATTCTTTAATTTTCTCTGCTAGGTTGCTTCTTTGATTTTCTCTACTATGCCGTTTCTTTAATTTTTTCTGCTAGGTTGCTTCTTCAATTTTCTCTGCCAGGTTGCTTCTTTGATTTTCTCTGCCATGTTGCTTCTTTGATTTTCATGTTGCTTCTTTAATTTTCTCTGTCAAGTTGCTTATTTGATTTTCTCTACCATGCTGTTTCTTTAATTTTCTCTGCCATACTGCTTCTTTGATTTTCTTTAGAGGTGCATTTGATCCAAAACAAACATACACAAACACACATCATAATTACACATGGCAGAGAAACATAACCACAGAGATACATAAGGATGTTTTCAAATTCAACATCTACACCACCCATTATGCTTATCATTTGCTTCCCTAAACCATGATGCACAGGTGGTTGACTCATTTATTTGGCCAAACACAGCAAAACAAACAATTTATAACTACTACAATACCTAAGCTTTGATTTCTAATCAACTCTCTGAAGCTCCACTATGATAACCAACACCTTGTTTCCCTTTCTCTATATCTATATATACATGTATGTATCTTCGTGAATTTATAGAGCTTGTTTGACTACTGGTGTTGCCAATGGAAATTGATACTCAAAGCCTTTTGGACTACGATGTCAACTCCAAACCACCATTCACAAATGGCTCTGTTTCCGAGAAATGGTATCGTCGTTTACTTCCACCATTGTGTTGTCTTCTCGTCGTGGTACGCTTCGATTCTGATATCGGTGAAATCGTACATGGATAAGGATGCTTTGAGCTTCGCTTGACGGAGGAGAGAGAGTTGGAGAAGAAGACGACGATGATGAGCTCCGGTGGAATCTAGAGCGGCCATTGAAAGGAGTGAAGTGAGGTTTGGATTTAGAGAGAGAGAGAGAGAGAGAGAGAGAGAGAGAGAGTTGAAATAGGAAAGAGAGAGAGAGAGAGAGAGGGGTTTGATTTGAGAGTGTCAAATTGAGAGACCTTAGATATTATAAAATAATATTGTGGATCTTATACATTACTAAAAGTGAGAGAGGGACCTTAAACTAATTTTCTCTTTTTTAATTGTCAAAATATCACAAAATAAAATTTTAGAAAAATTACAAAAAAAAATTCTTAAGATTTGAGCATTATAATGAAATAAAATTTTAATTTTATCAATTTAATATCTAAAATTTAATCTAAATTTTTAATTCATTTTCAATGTAAATCATTTGTTTATTTTCATTAACTAAAATCGTAAAAAAAATAGATATTTTAATCATTAAAATCAATAAAAATAATATTTTAGATATATTATATATACAATTTAATGACTAAAATATTTTTTTTGTCAATTTTATTTTAAATAAATAAATAAATAGTTCAGATTGAAAATAAATTAAAATATTAAACTTAAATTGATAAGACTAAAAAATTAAAAGTTAGTTTTTATTTTTATTTTTTTTATTATAATTTGTCTCTAAAATTTCTAATAATTCTTCCTTTCCTCGTAGCTTAAACTTACACTCGAAGACTACACTTTTTAAGTCTTTGTTTTTTTTTGTCTTTTTCACAAACCAAGAGCTGTCTCTCTGTTTCACATTTTTTTCTCAGGCAAGGAGCCTCTCTTCATCTGGTGAGCTTAGCATTGTCTTCTTGAGTTGAAAGACTTGAAAGGGTTAGGCTCTCCTCACTCCCCTCCATCGTGCCCAAGATTGTACACACTCTCTATACACTTGTACACTTAAGACCCAAATGCCCCTCTTGGTGCTTCTGTGACCATTGAAGACGAAGCAGCTCTCTTGAAGTCTACTTCACTTGGAGGACTTCTCAATTTTTTTGGGTAAAACTCAATCCTCTCATCTCATCTCTTTTGATTTTGTGGTAAAAATTAAAGGGTAGGATTTTCTAAAGTAAACACGTTTAGGGTGTTCTTAATTTTAAAAGCATTTTTTTGTTATTTTGTTCTTGGATGAGGAATTTTGTGATGTTCCATGTATGTATTTTATTTTCAATATTAGGTAATTTTAAAAAATCATGAAAATGGGATGTTTGATGTTACTACTTGTTAGATGCCATGCCTAGGGTGTTTTATCTTGAAAGTCTATGAAAAAAGTACTCAAAATTAATTTATCTTGAATGGCATGTTAGATTATGGTTGGTTATCATAATCACGATGCAGATCGTAGGATCTTACAATTTATAACCCAATTGGGCCAAACAATCCGGATCTCATTAGGATCTTAAATTGTATAACCCCAGTTGAGCCAAACAATCCGGATCACATTAAGATCTTAAATTTTGTAGAATCATACTATGATCATGATTCTACTACTATCCCATTCCAACAAAAAAAAAATTTGTTGTTATTTATTTCTTAGATATGTATGTCTATATGAAAAATTTGGCCATAAATCCTTCTCGAAGCATCTCCTCTAATAAATGTAAGCATAGAAGATGCCTTATATCAAATTACCATTTTCTTTAATGATTTTAAAATTATTTTACGTACATTATTATTATAGATAATTTTTCATTTTATTTTGCATTGAAATTAGAATCTTACAATTCTCAATCTGATTCTATGATTTGATCCATGACTCGCTTCCAAAGATCCCACATAGATCCCGATTTTAACAATCTTGTGTTAGATGGTTGTTAAGATCGAGATTCTACGTAGGATCAGTGAGAGGGTATTGTGGATTGGATAGGATTGGGTCGTAGGATTGGATCGAAGATCATAAGATTGTACCTCCTATTAAAAATAAGGTAAAGATACAAATAAGGATGATATATATTAAAAATAAGGTGAAAAATCACAAGTCCTACAATATCCCACACGATCCTACTTGCGATCCTACTATAACACTAATTTGGATCATTTTGACAATATAGAATTGTACAATTCTACGATCTGCATTGCTATTTTGATAACCATGATGTAAAATGAAAATTTTGAAGTATTAGTTGTTCTATGCCATGTTTGAAATGTATAATCTTTCTATACATTTTGGTAGATTAGGGCTTTATTTTTAAAGCCATATACCTTTGAAACTTTACTTTAGATAATTTTTTTAAAGTATTTGATTTATGCTTAGCGGTGTAAGTTGACATGATTAATATGCTTTGGATGATATTTTAAAGTTTAGTTGTCAAAGATGGGAGATTGGATGTCAACTATGAAGCACGGATACTTCAAATAGGGTGACGTATCCGTATCGTATCCGTATCGGATACCGATACTCCTTGGATACTCGCGGATACGTATCGGATACTTATTAAAAGGATCGGATACTTCTTAATTAATTTTTCATTAATTTTAGAGTATCGGATACTTAATTTTGAAGTATCGGATACTCCAAGTCATGTTTACTTGTTTTATGAAATTAGAATTGTAACATTTATTGCATAGTAATAGAATGTAATATAATTGCAAGTATAAATATAAGAATATTTTTTTAATACTTTGTTAAGTTCTTCGATAAGAAGAGCATAGTGAGTTAAATAATAGAATTTATCAAATTGATATATCCTAATTATTTCTTGCATGTCCCCTATAACTACATAGAAACTAAGAATTAACAAAAGAATATAACAATGGTAAAATTAAATATCAATAAATAAATAAGCAAGTAAACTTGAATATAATATTTTTCACTAGTGTCAAAGGAAAAAGCATAGGGACAAGTTGTGAATCGTTCTATTATTGTAATATAAATATATTAAACTTGATACTGAAATGAAATATTTGCAAGACCTATAAAAAATTTAAAAAGTAAACAAGCTACTAGCTTAAATTATTACAAAATTCTTAAAGGATAGTATTGTGCATTATAAAATTACATTGTGATTTCTTAACATTCTTTAGCTTATGTGTAACTCACTATTAATAATTTAAAAAAATATATTTTCCACAAACGTATCCTAGCCGTACCCGTATCCTATTTTTTTAGGTTTTCTCGTATCGCCGTATCCGTATCTCGTATCCGTATCTATGCTTCCTAGGATGTCAAGTAAGTTACATTTTTATTGAAAATAATGAAGTATATGAATTAGAGCTTGTCTATGTGCTCACATGCTTTATAATTTTCTAAAATGATTTTGAAAGTGAATGGCTAGGCTTTATTTTAATGAATATTTAACCTTCGAAGTTTATGTTTCGTTTGGGAAAAAGTGAATTTTATTGTGAAATTTTAGAAGTTGGAAACATTGTCAACATGTTTAGATGATTGTCAAATAAAATGGAATTTGAATCAAGATTAAGGCTTTGTTTGTCATAACTTAAAAAAGTCAAAAAGCCAAAAAGTCACTATCCTATTTAAGTCAAATCATCTTATTTAAGTCAGATCACCTCCCTGTCACATCACTTCTCTATCACATTACTTCAAACGCAATCCATACCCAACCCATATTTCATAAAAAGTCAAAAAGTACTTATGTAGATCTTCCCAAACAACCCTAAATAACGAGTTTGCAAGTTTCATGACTGGAATGAATTCCTTCGACCGTATTCTGGTTCATTGCACCCTAACGTAATCATGAACTTCTTTAATTGGTTTGACTTTTTAGGTACTGACTTACCTTTTTTTAGTTCATCTCATTAGGTTTAGAAATCTGGGGTGTGACATAATATGTGATATAATTAACAATGCAAAAATAGCACATGCTACTAAAAATACTGGCAGTTATAGAAAAATATATTTTTTGCACAATTGAGGAACAAATAGTTTAACCCTCATAAATAAAGTTTATTATGTAAGTTTAGAGAAGAGAAAGAGATAGGAAATGAGTGAGACCTCATCCCCTTTTATATTGATAATATGTGACATAATATGTGATATAATTAACAAAGCAAAAATAGCACATGCTACTAAAAGGACTGGCAGTTATAGAAAAATATATTTTTTGCACAATTGAGGAACAAATAGTTTAACGCTCATAAAATAAAGTTTATTATGTAAGTTTAGAGAAGAAAAAGAGATATGGAATGAGTGAGACCTTATCCCCTTTTATATTGATAATAATGCATAATTACAGGAGTGCCATCAGGCATAAATTACTGGAACTCTAATGTTAAAGATAACTGTTGCACATAGGTCTCAAGGTGTTTAGATAGAGATGGTGCTTTGAATTAAAAAAAAGATGACAATCTTCCTAAATAAAATTTCATAAAAATAAACCAAACAATAAATTATATAGCATCAATTTTTAAAAATGAGACAACTACAAAACCCAAATTGCATACACATGAGTCAAATTTAACTATTATCATCTGCTGATTAAAAATGGAAACTTCATGGATATCAATTCTGAAAAGGGGCAAAACAACTGGAATGAAGAGAATTTCACAGTTAAACACATTTTAGCTGATGTGGCATTTACTCAATGGTAAACCATAAACAAAGGGTTTTAAGGGATGAGTCTGATTTTCTTTCACAAGCTCAGATTGCGAACAGTACACTCTTTTTGATTGGTGCAAAGTAAAATAGTGGAATCTTGATGAAAATCAATTCTGGAAATTCTTTTGTTAGTAGTTAGTAGCTCGAGTGAGTTAGTTGCACTCTAGAATGATCTGTAAACAAGTATTAATAGGCATCTAATTTATTCAGCCATGCAAGCCCAACAGAGGCAAATAACTTGAAGTGAGAACATATTTTTCATCTTCTTTCCCACAAATAAAAACTGATTCATACCCACAATTTTTTGTAACAAATTTCCAGATTTTTACAAATTTCTGCACAGAACTTCTCTTTCCTAACTCTCCTGAATTCTTGCTGCGCCATCACACCCTGCAGCAACCTAACAGTGGTATAAGAGCATTGAAGGTCAGCAAAAGTCCAAAGGATGGCAGCAAGTTCCAGCATTACAACCTTCAAATATTCACCAGCCGGACTACCAATTTTTGAAGGAGAAAATTACGATTTTTGGAGCACTCAAATGAGAACCCTTTTTATCTTAGAAGATCTATGGGATTTGGTTGAAAATAGCTATGAAAGCCCTCAAAGCCAAGAATCAGCATGGCCAGAGGCAAGGAAGGAGAAGCTGAAAGAACATGAGATGAAAGATGCCAAAGCCTTGTACTACATTCAACAAGCAATCACGAAATCAATTGCTCCAAGGATAATGGCCGCAACAAAATCTAAAGAAGCATGGGAGGTTTTGAAGAATGAGTTTCAAGGATCGGCGAAGGTGATCGATGTCAAACTTCGAACTCTTTGGACAGAATTTGACAATTTGGCGATGAAGGAAGGTGAGTCCATCCAAACTTTCTTTCTAAGAGTTTTTTCTATCATTTATCAATTGAAGGCTTGTGGAGGTATAATACAAGATGAAAGAGTAGTAGAAAAAGTCTTGAGAAGCCTTCCAATCAAATACAATCGTGTGATGGCTGCCATAAAAGAATCAACAAATTTATCAACTCTTAGTTTACATGAACTAATGGGTTCCCTTCAAGTGGATGAAAAAAGAATGAATAGATTTTCTGATCAGCCGTTGGAGCAAGCTTTTCAAACAAAGATGAAAATGTCAGAAAATAAGGATGGAGAAAACGAGAAACAAAATCAAGGCAATCAATTTCAGAGACGCCAATCTAATCGTGGCCCTGGAAGAGGAGGAAAAAGGTACACTCAACAGACTGCAAGAGGTATATCACAATCTGAATCTCGCTGCAAATTTTGCAAGAATACTAATCATGGAAGCATGGACTGCCATTTCCAAAAATGCACAAGATGCAAGAATCCTAACCATCTTGAAAAAGATTGTTGGTTTCGTATAAAGGATGAAGCTAACTTTTCAGAAAAGCGTGAATCTTCAAACCAACAGTTCTATCCTTACATGAACACTCAACAAGAAGCGCAAGACACGAGGTATATTGACAGCAGATGCAGCAACCATATGACAGGAAACAATAGCAGCTTTGTTAGCTTGGATGAAGGAGTGAAATCCAAAGTGAAGTTTGGAGATGTGAAGGTTCAGAACATTGAAGGAAAAGGCACCATTGCTGTGCAAACAAAGGGAGGTAACACCAAGCTAAACCATGATGTTCTTTATGCTAATAGTTTAACTCAAAATCTATTAAGTGTGGGCCAATTGATACAAAAAAGGATATTTGGTGAAATTTGAAGATGAATACACTATACTTGCTAAGAAGAATAATAAGAAAATTGCTCAAATAAATATGGCCACCAATAAGGTGGTTACTCTCACAATGCCAGTAAAGGCAAGCTATGCCTTAAAGGCTGAAGACATGGATCAATCTATGGTATGGCATTTGAGTTACAGTCTTTTGTCAACTTGTCTGCAAACCAACCCAACCTGCCTATATGTATATGAAAAAATTACCTTGCACTTGCTCACTAGCAATCTCTCCCTAACCTTATATACCATTCATCAAATAATTCTCCCCCCTCATTTTTATTGCATATTTATATTTTAATTGACTCTTTTTTATATTAATTTGTAAAGTATAATTTTGAATAACATCATGCATTGATTAATTTGTTGGTTTTGTGTTGGGATTTGGAACAAATACTAAATTTTTTGGTTGAAATTTTAAAAAATAAATAAATTAAGGTTATATGCTCACTAATGTTATATTTCATTTTGTATTTATAACCCATCCAACTTGTTCAAACCATTGGTTTGAAATCGCCGAAATATTCAAGCAACCTGCTTTGAGGGTGGTTGTGTTGGCAAGCATATTAAAAAATTCTCCATTTGCCAAGGATAATTCAGTTGATGATTTTTCCCCAAAAATCAACCTAAGTCGACCTGCACACACCCCTACTCAAGAGTCACATAATCATTTAAAGTTTCAAGTGATTGGGACTCTTGGGGTGTTGGAAACTTGGCACAATGTTGAAGGAGCTTCTATTCCCACACCCTACTTTTTTGTCAGTTGACATCATTATTCAGTTCACACAAACAATTCTATCTTTTTTCTTTTTCTTTTTTTTCTCAGTTCACACCACTTAATCCCCATAATGTCCTCATCTTTAACCTTCAAGCCCTAACCCTAACCCTATCTCTATCCCTCTGCCACCCTCACTGGCGCAACTCTCTCTCTTCCCTGTTACCTACTCCCCAACCTCCACCTCTTCCCTTCTTGCCCCTCTCCATCGCCGCCACCTTCTTTGTCTTTTTCTTCTTTTTCCTCCTCCTCCTCCTCCTCCTAGATCTTTGGGGGAGGGGTGGCCACAATGGTGGGGGCCTAGGCAGCGGATTGGGTTGCGGTGGTACGGGTTGGGGAGGGGGGGGGGACAAATGGGGGGGGACACAATGGTGGGAGGGCTAGCGAGGGGTTTGCAATGGTGGGGAGCTAGGGGTCATGATGTTGTGGGGCAGGGTGGTGGTGGTTGGCAATGGGGTTTGCAGTGGTGGGGAGCTGGGGGTCATGATGTTGTGGGGTAGGGTGGTGGTGGCTAGGGGTGGCGGTTGGCAATGGTGGGATTGGGAGGGAAGGTGTGCATCTTTTGTCCTTAATGGTAATTTGTTTGCGGGACACAATCGTAATTTAATAAAAAATGGTGTGAACTGAGAAGAATGATGGTATGTAGAAGCTCCTCAATGTCAACGACCACCAAATAACTTCTCTAGCAACATACCTTTCTACCAGGGAAGTTTCCCGAAAGGTACAAAGATGTTACCTGCCAGGCATTACTTAGCTATCCAACCATCTTAAACCCAGTTGGATGGAATTAATACAAATGGCTTAATATGCACAATGAATGCTGGACAATCCAAATCCAAACGGCAATCAAGCCAAGCTTATCAATTTCTTAGCATATATGATCAATTTGCTATTCTATTATGAATTTTTTTATAATTTTTTTTTTTTTATAAATTTTTTAAACTAATACTAATTCGGTACTTTGTTTTTGAATCAAATTTTAGGAGTCCATATAGCGCCAATTTTGCATACCTTCACTAATGCATGTCCAGTCAAACTTAATAGAGTTTGTAGTTGTTATATATATGTTAGGAACTTGCTACAATATATTTCATGGTGAACTTCATTACATTTTGTTTTGTATAGTGAAAACAGCCATGGAAGCATCAACTTCCTCTGAGGCTAACTTTCAGATTCCAGCCAGTTCCTGCATACCACTTTCCGTTCCATCTGGAGATGAAGTCGACTCAGCCATCTCAGGGTTTACAAGGTAAGTAGTACAAAAATATTGGGTTAGGAAGTTTTCTTATGTGGGTTTTATTTATTTATTTGTGTAGTTTTATGTTTACAAGTTATCTATGAAAGGCAAAATAATATTCATTAATGTTCTTTCTCTACTTATTAATCCACATGTTTCTTGCTCAGTATTTCATTTTTATCCCATGTTTGGATAAAGAGGGTTGTGTAGCTTGAAAATCCCTTTATATCCCTCACTAGCATGAAGCTTAATATGAATATGCAAATAACTGCTAGGGTATTCCCATAAATAGGGCTACAAACGAATCAAGCAATTCATGAATAGCTCGAGCTTGGGTTATTGAAAGCTCTTTTGAATATGGCTCGTTTACTAAATGAATGAGTTTGAGCAAAATTTTTAGGTTCATTTATTTATCAAGTTGAGCTCAAGTAGACCAAAGCTTGCCTCATGTAGGCTCGTGAACACAAATGTTATATAAATTAATATTCGTTTTTAATAATATATTTTCATTAATTTAATTTATTTCGGTATTTATGTTTGGAGTTTTTGCTAATTTACATATTTAGTTGATAAAACTAACAACAATATGAGCATTACTTACGTTTTGCACATAATCTTCTTTTTTTCTCTTAATTTGCATGGTAATTTAAGTTTTAATTTTCTTTCAAAGCTCAAGCTTGACCTTGGCTCTTTTAAGTAATTGAGCTGACTCGAGTTGAGCTTGATTTTCACAAATAATAGATGAGTCGAGCTCAAGCTCGAGCTCGAGATTTTTTTAAGCTCCACTTAAGCTCAACTCGAACTCGAGCTCAACAAATTTTCAACAAGCCAAGCTCCAACATCCCAAAGCTCGGCTCAATCCATTTGCATTCCTATTTGTAACGAACTCATTGCTCCTTCCTTTAAGCGTTTCAAAAAATGGGCAAGGGGCACCACATCAGCACTCGAGTGCAGTAAAAAGAAGGCAAGGGTCTTAGCGTTTTACTAAACTAGTGCAGGTAAAGAAATTAGTCTAGAATTGTAGGTATAGATTAGCAATGTTGAATATACGAACACTAATAGGTAAAACTATGAAATTAGTAAATATTATGATTAGAAGAAAAGAGTATAAGATGTTTACAAGAAACTAAATTGTAACAATGTAGTAACGATGTAGAAGAAAAAGTTAATAAAATTTGTGTATAAAATTTACTAGGAGTGAAATCGGTCCAGTTTTGCATTTTTTTTTGATAGAACCAGTAAAGTCGGTTTTCTACACTTATGGCACCGAACAGAACGACCAGAACAGGTAAACCGGACTGGACCGGTAAATTTGGTTTTGGTTTGGTTCGGTGTGGTTTACCAGTTTGGGCATTTGTTTAAAAAAAATAATAACTACCTTCATTTATTTTTTTTGAAAAAAAAGATCAATCTAATTAAGATTTGGCAACAAACAACAACGTAGTTGCACCAAGACTAATTTATCAAATATCAAATTCAACAATAGTAAGAGCTAATGCTTGTATATTATTTGAATGTTCGGTAAATTTGGCATAATTTGTAAATTTGATTCGGTTTGGTTTGGCATGAAATCTCCAAAACCAAACATTGAACCGAATTTCAGGAAAAAAAATTCTCAACACAGACTGACTGTTTGGCGGTGTAGAAAACAAACCGAAAACCGGTCGGTGCGGTCGGTCTGTTTGGTGTAGGCGGTTTTTCTTTCACCCGTAAAATTTGTCATACTGAAAAAGATAGACATAGAAATGACATAGTAATAATTGTAACAAAGCATCTTAAAGATAGGTAGAAAAAATATTGTTTTTATAGAATGTGCAAAATTGAAAAACAAATGGTGAAATCTAAAAAGTGAGGAATTAGAAATTATTAAAGGATAAAATGTTGAAAGAAGCAACATAAAGTTTGGAAGGTGATTTGCTTAGTCCTTGACCCAAAATGCCACTCTCATTTTAATGAGCAGTGGAATGAGATTCCAATTGGGTTGTGTATCCTCTAAGACAAGCTAGTTCCTAACATTCTGAATTGTCCACAAAATTGCATATGCAATCACTTCCCATATAGCACTAACCTTTCTAACACTACCATCATCCAAAGAACACTCGATATTTGACACAAAGAAATTAAACAAAGTAGTGCACCTACCTTCCATTGCAATGATATCTTTCCAGATCCTGGATGAATTGTATGAAGATGTGCCAAAAGGAAGCCAGGAGTTGTTCACATTGCCTGATTTGCTGCAGATAATTCTCTTCAAAAAAGCATTCCCTTGTGTGCCAAATCTCCACCACCATATCATCAAAAGACGTTCAATTCATTTCCCTGATTTTTCTGATTCCCAATCCTCCAACCTCTTTACTTTCTGTAACACTTTCCCATTTGTGGTATACAAATGTGATCACCATAGCATTATTGCCCCTTTTGAATGCAAAGTGTTACAATATAGCAAAGGGAGAGAAACAAAGTATTACAATATACCAAAGAGAGTGAAATAGAATAGTTCTGGAGAGAATAGAATAGCAGTACATGATCTAGGCTTGCTTCTAGTTGTAGTCTAGTGCTTCATGATTTAGACTTGTTATCTTTTTCAATAGTTCACGTATTTTACTTATGTAAGATAAATTGATAGAGAGAGAATAAATTGTATCTATTGATTTATTCTATGTTGTGTTGAGCTCTCTCCTTTATAGAGGAGAGGGAGAACAATTACAAACCGAAAGTAGAAGCACAAACCAAACAACATTATTAAAGGTACATTATTAAAGGTTTGACAGCTAATATATATACTAATATATACTAACAGCCCCCCTCAAACTCAAGGAGGATAGGCACTAACCAACTTGAGTTTGGAGAAAGTAACAAAACAAGAAAATAAACTGACAAATAAAAGGGGATAGGAGACACTGTATGGTTGTGTCAGACCGTTGGTGAAGACACTGTATGGTCGTGTCGGACCGTTGTAGCAGGACAGTTTACGAGGTCATGCCGGACCGATGTAGAAGCTAACCGGAATCAATGTCGGGACAGTTTACGGGGTCATGCCGGACCGTTGTAAAAGCTGACCGGAATCAATGTCGGGACAGTTTACGGGGTCATGTCGGACCGATGTAGAAGATGACCGGAATCAATGTTGGGACAGTTTACGAGGTCATGCCAGACCGTTGTAGAAGCTAACCGGAATCAATGTCGGGACAGTTTATGGGGTCATGCCGGACCGATGTAGATGACACTGTATGACTGTGGATATAGGCTGCCCAAAAGAGATACATGTATATATATATCGAGCCCTCAAAAGTCGTGCCCAATCTATCAAAAGGCGTGCCATCAAAAGGCGTGCCCAACAGAAATCTTCGAGCGGCGAGCCATCAAAAGGTGCGCCCAGACACGCGGCGATGCACGTGACTGACAGAGTGTCGTGTCGTCCGCGTCGTCATTGGCTATATAAACCGAGGCGGAGGCTGTGCAAACCAAACAAGTCTGAAACCGCTGAACATCGTCGTTCTGAAACACTCTGCAACCAACCCTTGCTGACATTACCAGTTTGAAATCGCTGCTGCTCGGAAACACTCAACAACCCAAAACATGGCCTCTTCTTCCCGTGGTCTGCTCACTCTCTTTTCAGACCTCAACGAGTCCATAAGATAGATAACTGGTGCGGTTGCCCTTGAACCTCAACCAAGCGCCCCTGGTTTTGCTCCGTTGACCTTTCCTATGCGGTCTGTGGAGCAAATAATGGCAGCGCAAGCAGATATTGAGGCCAATCAGTATACATTGAAGTCATGTGTGGAGACCATGACGGCAGTCACAAACTTGTCGCACCGGCTTCAGAGTAGGACAAATGAGGTGCAGCAGTTAAACGCCCAACTGGCTCTGCTCCAGCGCATGTATAAGGATGCGCGAGCAGAGATAAGTGTGCTAAAGGCGGAAAATAAGGAGCTGAAGTGGAAGGCCAACGTTACCATAAACCAAAACAAAATTAAAGTTTTAAAACAAAATAAAAATGAACACCTAATGGACTTAAATCATCTCTAATAACAATATGTATAAACCTAAACAACTATACTTTGGTGGCTGGCCTTCTTCAAGTGAAAACAATAATCATATGTTCAATTTACCTCTCCATGTTTGCTTTTCCCAGTGGCTTTGGCACTTTTTGATAGCAAATTATGTATTGCAAACCTTCTTGCCATTATTAGCAAAGCAAAGGGAGTCGGTGTCAGTTTGATTATGGCGAAACATCCATATAGTGATCCAATCTTCCAAAGCCTTGAGCTTATTAGCAAGGTAGAACTTTTTCCATCCCGCGGTACGAACATGAGTCTTGGAACCCCAAATCTTGAATGTCATTGGATACATAATTCCTTTCAAATCATAAGTTGTCACTTTAGTCCCTTTAATCCCATCCTTAAGGTTTTCTCTCTTGCTCTCATCCATCACTGATGAAAAAAATGATGTTTGTGTTCGTTTTTTTTTTTTTTTTTTACTCATACCCATGGTCTCCGGATGGAAGGCTAAAAATAGAGAGGTAGTGTGAGAAAATAAAGTATAAAAGAAAATAAAATTGAAGAGAAGTGTATGAATAAAGTTGAAGAGAAATGTGTGAATGTTAAAGTAATAAAAAATAAAAAGGAAATGTGAGATTCAAATTTGTGTGGGCGGGTTATACCACTAATGGAAAAGTAAGATGATGGGTGTGCAACCAGTTTGTGTTTCGTTTTCTCTTCAAAAGGTGGAGTAAAATAAATATATATAAAAAAAAAAAAAAGGAAAAGAAAGTTGAGTGGGGAACATGAGTGTGTGGAAAGAATGAAAAAGAAAAAGTATGGGTTGGAGAATCTGAGCATCGGAGAAGAGGAGAGGAAAAGGAAGTGGAGACCATGATGACATATACAGGGCTTGATTGAAGCAAGGCCGCAAGTGGGAGATGCACACACCCAGGGTCGGCGCGAGAGTCCCATGCCGGGGATGTAGAGCTCGGTGACGCGGCCGGAGTCGAAGATGACGCCAGGCCACGAGCATGGGGTGGGCCACGACCCGAAGAGGAGGAGGACAACGGAGAGGAGCAGTCTAGGATTTCTAGAGAGAGGGAGAGATAATAGATTGACCACCGATTTTTTTTTGATCTGCATGGGAGACCGCATGTTGAGAGCTTTTCTTGAGAGAGACCCTCAATGGCAGTGAGACTCCGGTAGGTGAGGTTTAGCCCTGACAACGCTGTCGTAGCAAGCCATGGTGTCGAACTTGGCTAAACATGGTCCGTCAAGGTAGACCTCGAGAAGTTCGGCATCGGAGAGAGTGTAGGAAGAAGCCATCGGAGAGAATATAGATGCAGAGGGAAGTGAACACTAGATACCACTCCACTGTTGTTAGAGGATTTGATGAGAATGCTGTGTGGACTGCTGCCTTTTGAAGATCAACCCAACTTGTCAATTCTTCTTCCAAACTCATGAAGGAGGTTATACGAGTTTTTCTGTTTTTACACTTAGTATAGAAAATTAGATATGATTTCACACGGTTGGATCCAAGGGGGGAGAGAGAGAGAGAGAGAGAGAGGCCTTGCCATGCAAACCTTCTCCATTTTAGTAGAGAAGAGTGGGCTGACCGCCAAAGCAGTCAGAAAAGCAAGCATGAGGCTCTCACTATTCATTCTTTTACAGCTTGGAGAGCCCTTTTGTACAAGTCACACTTCTGTTGCTACTGAGATCATAATCAATACAAATTTTCTGGGCGGCGCATAGCCGGAGGACGCCGAGTCGGCTTACATTGATCCAGACCGAGTCGAGGTGGCGAGTGGACCGAGTTGCAAGGCGTGTCGGGAGCGAGTTGCTTCGGTGGGTGTATTGCTGTGTCGGCACCTGTCTGTGTAGAGAATGTGGTGCCATGGCTCAAGCTTGTCCTGTCTGTCTCTCTTTCAGGGAGTATGTTGCCGCCGTTGATGGCGAAGAACTCGAAGCTATGCGCAAAAAATTCCAGCGGGCAGCGAAGGCAAAGTTGCCGGCCGGTTGCCCGCCGGTGAGAAAGAAATACAGGCTTAAATCTTATAGCTCTGATACCATGTAAGATAAATTGATAGAGAGAGAATAAATTGTATCCATTGATTTATTCTATGTTGTGTTGAGCTCTCTCCTTTATAGAGGAGAGGGAGAACAATTACAAACCGAAAGTAGAAGCACAAACCAAACAACATTATTAAAGGTACATTATTAAAGGTTTGACAGCTAATATATATACTAATATATACTAACAACTTATATATACACACAACTTTTTATACATTCAGAGAATACAAGAAATGTTTCGGATTGTGATTTTGTGTTGCACTAGTTGATTTGGGTTCCCTTGCCTAGTTCGGATATGAATGTGTCTGATCTTAATCCTATCTATTATGTGACACCTCGTGTAGTTTTTTGCAATCTGACGCTGGATCAAAAGTCAGTTCACTTCCATTGATTTCAAGCCTTGATGGTCTAGGAAAGCTGCAATCTGTTGAAGGAATGACTATTCAAAAAGCTTTTGAATTGATGAACAGAGTCAAACCCATTCAGGTGCCTTATTCTGCTCATAATCAGTAATTTGAAACAATTGTTCTTCTCTTGCACTTGGACAAGATCCATTTCCCACTTGGACAAGACTATTGTTTTTTTTTTCTTTTGATAAATCACTTGGACAAGACATCATGCTTTCAATGATGAGTAGCAATTAATGATATGAGGTACACTCACAACCAAGGTTTTAAACAACGTAACCAAGGTATTGCAAAAATTTTAAAATCATCAGCTGTGAAAAGAACTGCATAGCAGTGAACCGACCTGACATATCGTCTCTGAATCAGGTCATGAATCAGCTATGAAGCGATATATATCGCAAGCCGGTCAATATGCATGCGATTTTTATTCCCACTACACAGAGTGTATCGGTATTGAAGGCGGCCAAAAAAAAAAGAAAATTCATATCGGCTGGTATTGCTATATATCATTCGATATTTAAAATCATGCTCACAACATGTTCCAAAGTGATCATTGTTGAATCCCTTTGAATCATGTATATGACCAACTTGCCTATCTTTTTCTTGAAACAAAAGTATTCGGTTTGAATAGAAAGAATAAAAGACTCTTAATAAATCACCCACAAAGAACATAAGGAATATTATTTGCTAATCTTTTGAATTAGTTTATCACGTGACAAGGAGCTTAAAGTTTTAAGCTGTTATTGTCATGAAAATTATTTTCATCAATTTATGTCCTCTAAATCTATTGGGCCCACTTTGTATGTAGAATTTGGTCAAGGCTATAGCAACTAATGAAGATGTCCTCTAAATCTATTGGGCCCACTTTGTATGTAGAATTTGATCAAGGCTATAGCAACTAATGAAGAGATGTGGAATGCTTTTATAAACATTAATGAAGTTCAGGAATTCGTGCGGCAGCTGAAGACAGGTTCACAAATGCATTTATTTATTAATGAAATTTAAAATATTGGTAATGTTAGGATAATCATGGTTTCTTTTCACAATTGGTTTACCATCTTATTTGTCAACATTGTATTAGTTTAATGGATTCCACCACTCATGTTTATTACCAATGCAGTATTAACACACATGAGATGTTAAGCAAAACATGATACGAAAATATAGTCATCATGGTATTATTGTTAAAATAATTGTACATCTTTCATAATACTAATTTTATATTAATCACATTAACAAAACCTAGGTTGATCGATAGAAATCCAACCTTAAACTGATCCTACATGTCTGAGACCTTTATATCATGCTAAGATGAATTTTTGCTTTGATTATATTTTGTTTTCTCCAAAGTGGTTGATTAATTTTGCTCATTGGTCTCATGTATTCGTCTCTAGTAAAGTGATATAATTACATTGGTCTTACTATTGGGAGTGCAACTTGCCTTGTCCTATATTCTACCGATTATTAAAATATATATATATATATATATGTAAAACACCACAGACCGGAACATAATGAAGGTGGCTTATTTATCTTTATTTCTTCATTAGTATGTATGAATGATGTTTCTTAAAATTAGAGAAGCTATATTGTCCTTTCTTATTGTCTAGATTAATGCTACACTTTTTTATTATAATTTGCTTATTGTTTGATGTGGTAGACACATAATGATTGAATATTAATCAAATTGTTGCGAGACTCATTGAAATAGTGATTGTAAGTGTGCCACATCGCATGGTAATCACAATATAGTAAAAAATATAATAATTCTAATATTATTTATTATTTAATGAAAATGTGGACAAGTTTGTGTCTACTGTCTAGTAGTTAGAAAAAAGAAAAAGTGAGGGAGTCTAAAAACTAATGTGAAAATTTATCAAAAAATAAAGTTTGGTGGTGTACATTCAAACTTAGCGTAATGAAATCACATCCAAAATAAATTTAGTTGACGTTTCAAAATTTTTGTTTTTTGACATTTTTTAAGTTACTCTTTTAGGCTATGTAATATTATTGTTCAAAAATATCATAAGAAAAAGATAGTGAATATATTATCTCACCTATTTAGGTGCCAAAAGGCCAGAGGCAATAACAAGCGGCAACCAGCAGACGCAAGGCATTAGCTACAGTCAGCAACAGTTGTCAGGTCTCTCTGATTCACTGTATTTACTTTTATGATTTTAAATATCAATCGATATGTATATCAACTTATACATATCAGTTTTTAAATTTCTTGATATTGATAATTTATCAATTGATACATATCGACTTTTTTTATTTCTTGATATTGATACACTTTATTTTGCTGATGGTAATAAATTTGGGTGAAATACAGTCATTGCCCTTGTAGTTTACCTCTTATATACATTTGGTCTTTGTAATTCTAATTGCATTGATTTTACCTTGAGTTTGTCACATTATGTGAATTTAATCAAATTCATAACAATATTTAGAAATTGGACTGAAATCAAAGACTAAAATAGTCAATTCACTCTCATCAGAATGATGGAGGGGTTGGCATCCAATTTGAAATGGTCCATTTCTTTTTGGAACGGACTATTTTGCTCTGGATGTCTATTCAATTTCTTAATTAATATTATCCATTGGACTAAATTGATCCCTCTCCCATTCTCATCCTCCCGTTGTATATAGTTGTGTGTATATATATTACTTTTATGTATTATGTATGTTAAATTAAACTTTAGGTTAAAATTTTAAAAAATAGGTTAAATACAATGGATTTTGTGATAAATAATTGGTTAAGAAATAATATTTAAAGTTTAGATTCATTGCCCTTGTTGCTCTTATTTCAATTTGGTCATTGTAATTCTAACTGCATCGATTTTACCTTGACTTGTCATATTATGTCAATTTAGTCCAATTCAGAATATTTAGAAATTAGACTGAAATGAAAGAGTAAAATAGTCAATTCACTTATATCAGAATGACTGAGTGATTGGCATCCAATTTGAAATGGTCCATTTCTTTTTTAACAAACTATTTTGCTCTTGATATCTGTTCAATTTCTTAACAAATATTATCAATTAGACTAAATTTATACAATCTGAAAAATTACAGGGACCATATAGGTATATATTGGCCTAAGGATTATATGCAGAACCCCTTAAGGAGTCTATTATTATCAGGCTAGCTATTTGGCTGAAGGCCTCTTCTAAGGATTGCCCATTCTCCATTAATGATTTTCTTTTTAATATCAGCCAGATTCGAGTTTGTTTAGGTGGTCGGGGTTGAGTGTTTTTGCAGCAGGCTTTGGCTTATATTCTACTATCTTCTGGTGTGTAGTAGCAGCATATGTGGGTTGGACTCTGTTTGGGGATTCTGTGCAGGGGTTCTGAGTTGTTGAATTGGTGCAGTTTGATCTGAGTTGCTGAGTTTCAACTCTGTTTCAGACCTGGAGGTGCCTCTGTTTCATTTCTGCTGTTTGGTTGCTATGTTACATTGCTGCAGTTTGATCTTCTTTCCTACTGTCTGCTGGTTTTTGTTGGTTGTTTTGATTGGTAGCTCACCAATCTTGTCTAGCTTTGTTGCTATTGTTTTCCCGCTCTGTTGATGTATTCTGTAATCCTTGTTGTTTTTTTATCATCAATATAGCTCTTTTCTGCCGTTCAAATAAAAAAAAAAATATATATAGACTAGAGAAGTGTGATGGATCACATCCAAAACGAATCTAGTCTATACATCTAAAACTTTGTTTTTAAGTAATTTTTTTGAGCTATGTAATATTATTGTTACAAAAATATCATTAGAAATGGTAGTGAATATATTATCTCACCTCTTCAGGAGTCTACAACATAGTGACAAATCCGAGTAGCAACCCACAGACGCACAACCACTCTAGCCAGCAATGGTCATCAGGTCTTTCTAACTAAACTTGTATTTCTTATGATTTAAATATTGAACAATATGTATTATGTTGGTTGATACATATTAATTTTTTTGTTTCTCAATATTGATACATTTCAGTATTCCAATTGATACATACTGATTTTTTTGATTTTCAATATTGATACATTCCGTTGTATATATGGTGATAATAAATTTAGGAAAAAATCCAATTTACCCCTTTGTGGTTTGGCCCTGTACATTTTTGCCTATGTGTTCACATAATGAAATTTTTGCCCCCGTCGTCTTCTTCTCCATAACCTACAAATCCTAACGCAAACAGCCAACCCTAGTCCTGACCTGCTCTCCCATTTCCGACCTCCCCTTCCACCCCCCTCCCCAGCCTCCTCGTCATGGTCCCTTCTTCCATTCTCATCCTCATTTCACCCACTATATATAATTGTATATACATTTTTGTGTATATATTGTGTGTATGTATGGTTAAATTAAAGTTTGAGTTAAAAATTAAAAAAAAAAGTTAAATAAAAATGATTTAGTGTTAAATAATTGGTTTAAGTTAGAAATTATATTTATAGTCTAGGTTAAAATTGAAAAACTAGGTTAAGTAATAGGATTTAATGTTAAATAATTTGTTAAGTTGGAAACTATATTTAATATTTAGGTTAAAAAATTTAAAGATGGTTAGGATTTAGGGTTAATGAATTTGATTTGGAAGTTTTTTTTTAATTTTTAATTTTTTATATTTTTTTTAATAGAAGAGACTGAGAATAGGAGGAAAAGGAATAAGACATAGGGGTATTAAGGTAACTTTACATGACATTTGCGGAGTTGACAGTTACACTTTAGTACGAAACCTTATGGATGGTGTCCGACTATTTTTGAATAATATGGGGTAAAATGTTACAGGACCAAACCCCAAGGGGATAAATTGATTTTTTCCTAAAAATTATATATGTCTATTGACCAGGTCACGGTATGTATAGGTTTTTAGTCGATTCAGGATTTGTTAAATAAAAATGATTTAGTGTTAAATAATTGGTTTAAGTTAGAAATTATATTTATAGTCTAGGTTAAAATTGAAAAACTAGGTTAAGTAAATAGGATTTAATGTTAAATAATTAGTTAAGTTGGAAACTATATTTAATATTTAGGTTAAGAAATTTAAAGATGGTTAGGATTTAGGGTTAATGAATTTGATTTGGAAGTTTTTTTTTTTAATTTTTAATTTTTTATATTTTTTTTTATAGAAGAGACTGAGAATAGGAGGAAAAGGAATAAAACATAGGGGTATTAAGGTAACTTTACATGACATTTGCGGAGTTGACGGTTACACTTTAGTACGAAACCTTATGGATGGTGTCCGACTATTTTTGAATAATATGGGGTAAAGTGTTACAGGACCAAACCACAAGGGGATAAATTGATTTTTTCCTAAAAATTATATATGTCTATTGACCAGGTCACGGTATGTATAGGTTTTTAGTCGATTCAGGATTTTATTCATAACCACTATTTAGAACCTTGATTCCTATGTGAGATTGTGACTTTTTGAGTGGCTAAAGACTTTTTTGCAAAGGCCAAACAACAAAAAGAGAAGACTGTCTTCTAGCATTTTTTCTGAGAAATAATAATAAGTTTTTATAAAGAGTCCATGTATTCAGGGTTACAATTTTTTGGCTGAGAAAAGGAATTAGACTATTGCTTTCCAATTTGTTATTTTATTATTAACTGTTACTTCATCAATCTTATTGATTAATCTATTTGTATTTGTTGGTACTTTGTTATGGATTGGATTAGTTTTTCTACTATATATATATCCTTAGTTCTCTCGTCTCTTGAATGCCTATGCAGTAATATTCTATACCTTATGTTACCACCCCCCTTTTTTTTTTTTTTCCTTCGTTGCTTGCTATATATCTCTGTTTAATATCATGAGGGTATGACAATGATTTCTTAACAAAGAATCAATCTTAAATATCCAGAGTGACTACTAAATAACTTGAACTTAAGCTTTTGGGTATTGTTGGTCGACCCACAAGTTATTTGGGCCAGCATGTAGTGGGGCGTTACAAATGGTATCAGAGCCGACCCATGCACACAACCATGTAGGCCACTTATTCTGGGCTGGTCACGAGTTTGTCGTGGTATTCTGATTGATTATAGACCCTTGCGAGGACGCGAGGATTTATAAGTGAGGGAGTTTGTAACAGCCTGTCCCACATCGGAAGTTTGCATGGTTGATCTTGGGCATATAAAGTACCACTACCTTGCTACTCAATAACTTGGACTTAAGCTTTTGGGTATATACAAAATGGTGACGGAAAAAAAACGAGTATAGCATTTTCATTTTTTTATTAATTTTTATTCATGCAGATCAACAGGAAGGTGTAAAGCCTGACGCATGGGAAAAGATTTTATTGGAATTCTTTAGGATTGGGAAAAAGATATTCAAGTTCTTGTTTCGGAAAGATGGAGGTGGAGGTGGAGGTGGAGGTGGAGGACGTGGATGTGGTGGTGGAGGTGGACATGGACGTGGATGTGGTGGAGGTGGAGGTGAAGTGCCAAGCGACGAGTATCTTGAAGTGGCATTCCTCCTTTCCATCGTGCTGATGTTGGCTATACGACTAATGCGCTTCTATGTCTGATTTCTGTGTTCTTGGACTTATTTGCCGACGTGTGTGGCTGTGCTTTGTTGTCATAAAACAGTAGACAATTTTACCAAAGGGTGACATGCACCTCTAAAACATGATGGTTTGTAATTTTGTTATGCCCTAAATGCTTGGACTTTCTAGTGGTGTTTAAAGTCCATTGGGACTTACTGCTTGTTGCTGGGTTGTTTGTTCACCCTTTAGGTTTGTGCTTTACAGAGAGCTAACTCTTTGGGTTGTTTTTCTAGAGTCACATTGTGTGTTTCTATTATCTATATATAATAATGAAATTTGTTTTGTTTTGTGTATTTTTTATTTATATGTAGTTGGTTCTTTATTCGTAAACTTATTGGTGCGATATACTGGGTAGAGTTGATATTTGATGTCAAAATATGACTTTTGGAATGTCACATTAGATTTAAAGTATCAGGTGGAGGTGCTTTAAAAGGCTGCTCTATAAAGTTTGATTGTTGTATGTTGTTAGGTGAACGTCCAATAATCTCATGCATATTGTAGCGAGACAAATTTGTCTTAGAGAAATTGTGTCGAACACAATTCTAAATTAGAAGTATAGAATTTTTACATTATGTCTATAAGTATTTCCTTCTATTTTTTTTCATTTCAGTTTTCATTATTTTTCCAATACTGTTTCCAAATTCAGATTTTCACACAGTACACGTAAGATTGTCGAATAATTTATCTACAAAACGATGCTTTCATGGAAGAAGTCTGTGTGATATTGCTCAAGAAATTAGTTTCAAGTTGAAGTCGTTTTATCCTTCCTATATTTCTCTGGTTGCTTTGTAATTTGGCCTACCTCGGTTTAATGGAAAATAATTGACAACATATATATATATATACATATTTTAAAGCAAAAAAATATGTTCATTCAATGCGACAACTTTGATATGGAAGTTTGTTAAAACATTATGGAGGATGAGAATAAGTAAAAAGTAATCAAATTGATTGCAAAAAAGGAAACTTGCAAGTGTTACAGCATGTGTAAACTGTGTGTCGGTAATTTTTGCAAGACAAAAATTGGGGTTTCATAAACTTATAGTCCTTACGTTTTGTTACTTGTGTTATAAAAGTCTACAGTTTTAATTGAGTCAATTTTAACCTTTAATTTTAAATGTTATATTAATTTGGTCCAATTGATAATGTCGTTAGGATTTTTGACAAAAAATTATCAATGAATTTGTTAAGATTAAGTCGTTGAATTGATGAAGCTTTCAATTTTATTCTTAAAAGCATGACACATGTTGCCCATGTGTGCATTTGTCAAAAAATGCTAACAATTAGGATCAATTGAACTAATTTGAGACAATAAAAAATTTAAAATCAAAATTGAATCCATTGAAATTATAAAAATTAAAATGACACAAGAATGGAAGGGTAAGGACAAACAGTGTAATTTGCTTTATTCCTGTTTCTTTATCGCATCCCTAAAGATCCAATTGAAACACATCAAACTTTAATGCACCTCCCTGCATAGGCACTGTTTGGTGCACTTTATGCAACTATTTATAATTTTTTTTTTAATTTTTAAAATTTGTATAAGACTTTGGTGTAATTTTTTAGTAAAATTTATTAGACAAAAATAAAGCCGAACGGTGGATTATTAAAAAGTAGCGGAGATGCTTTTAATTTTTAATTTTTAATTATTAACATTCAGATTGGTAGAAATTACACCAAACAAGCACATAATCTTTGTGCATGACCTCTAAACAACCAATCAAAAGAGTTCTTACCCAAAACAAGATCAGAGCAACAAAATATATATATATATATATATAAATAAAATCAGAGTATGGGCTACCCATAATAAGTAATACAATTTTGCTTGTAAATAAACTAATTAAAGAATTAGATATAATCTTTTCATATGGAGATGAGACTCAAAAAAATGTACAAATATCTGATTATGTGATCGATTTTGTGTTTTTAGAATTTTCTTATTTAATTGGGTTTTCAATATAAAATCTTATTTAATTATAGTGAGATTTAAAGCATTTATAATGGATGTGTTAAAAATGTTTGTTAAAGTAAATGTTAAAATAAACAAACAGGCAAACGTGAGGTTCAATTTTATGTGTCATGTATTTGTTAATTTAATAAGTGGGATGGATATTTTATTACTAATTAAAATGTGTGTTAGGTTAGAATGGAACCACTTGAGTACGTAAAATTTGAAGAATAAAAAGTACAAAAAGCAACTGTGTGGAGTTTCAAAGTTTCGACATCCATATGCAAACTAATAATTTATTATCTAATAATTTACTTCTTAAAATAATTCTCACTCACATGAAAAAGGAAGATCTTGTGCTATAGAAGAAGAATAATAATAATATCAAATAAAATAAAATAAAATTAGTAGGCATCATGCCATATATTTTTTTTCATGAAAAAGGCTTGAAACGCTTAGTTTATCAAATAATAATAATAATAACAAATAAAATAAAATAAAATTAGTAGTAGAGACTTGATCAAGTGGGCATCATGCCATATTTTTTTTTTCATGAAAAATGTTTAAAACACTTAATTTACCACTCCTAAAATCACCCCTAATGATGTATTTTATAAGTGTCAAATTTTAATTTGTCAAATATTTTATCATATGGAGTCTAACGAATAATGTTATATGCACTAATTAGTGTACTAACTAGTGTACCAATTGATGATGTAGCATAATTTGAGAGGTTTTTTATATTTGTAATTTGTATAATGAGTGGGGTCAATAATAATATCATAACTAGTGTTAGTATATTAGTTAGTACACTAATTAGTGCATGTAGTACTACCGGGAGTCTAACCTCAATGCCACTTTATTAAAGCCATTTAAGAGTGATAAATTAAAAATATGTAACATTGTTATCTTGTTTTAATATATGTAACATTGTTATCTCGTTTTCTTGGTCTTATCCATATGCCTCCATTCTCTTTATCTACTTTTTATTTCACTTCATAAAATCATGACAAAATGGGCCAATCATATTTGTTACATAATCCATCCTTAGACTGTGTTTGTTTGAAAAGATTTGATGAGAAAAGAAAAAGAAAAAAGGGAAATAGAAAGAAAATGAAAAAGAATTGTAAGATTCGAATTTCAAGTTATATTTAGTTGAATTGGGAAATGGAGAAATAAAAGAGTCTTAGTAAATCTAAAAGACAAAAAATGAAATTGTATTTTCCTCTCATTTTCTTTTCCCATGTACTTTCTATTATAACCAAATAAAAAATGAGATTTTTTTTGATTGAAAATATAAAATAAAAAAAAAACACACAACCTGCTTAGATTGGATTTCATTTTCCGTTTCTATTTCTCTCATCAAATCCTCCTACCAAACACAACCTTTGTCTACCATTTTATTACCTACCACTTTAGATTGTGTTTGGTTTGAGAATTTGATGAGAGAAATGGAAAAAAAAAAGGAAATGCAATCTGCTTTTTGTTTGATTATAATGGAGAAAAACCCTCCAGATATTAATTTCTGATTATGCTTCAATTTTTAACAGTGAATATCAGTCCCAATCAAATAATCAATAACAAATCGGCACAACGATTTGACGTAGAAAAAATCACAACACCTCCAATTGTGATAAAAAAACCATAAGTCAATGCCACAAAATAATCCACTAAAAAGATAAAAAGGAATTACATATGAGTATCCTCAATTATTTAGCGAAAATTCACGTCCGAATTAAACCAAACTTGATGTGCCTCTTCCACCATCGTCTTCACCTTGAAATTGCTTTGTCCAACGTTAAATCCACAACGCCGATATCAAATTCACGACAATGAGCCATTCTGGAACCCACCAAAGTTTTAGGCCCAAATTTTCTGGAATTCACCAAAGAACACCTCTTTTTTTTGAATGAAATAATAAAAACAAATCCCTTGATGATGTCAATATGAAACTCGTAAATCCATCGACCACTCTCAAATCACCAAGGAAACCAATATATAAACACCGTCCAATATAGAAAACCTTGATAGCTCTCCTCTCTGAGAATTTGGACAGGTTAAACCCTAAAAACAGCAAACTGTGCATTTTATACTAAACAGAGTCAGAGATCACTCGAGCGCACACTTTACCGCTCTAACGGTGTGAGTAAAGGTGATGCAAACATATATGCCAATGGCTCAAGCGCAACATCCACTGCTAGAGCAGTAAAACTTGTTTCCTAGAAGTTCAAACACAGACAAAGATACTAGATGAACCACTTCACCGCTCGAGCGCACAAATGACCGATCGAGCGGTCAAACAATTTTGGCTTTAGGTTGGATTCGCATCTAAATACTCATAGCCGAATTGAAACAAAAGGCTGAATACAATTACAACTAAAAGAAATTTTGTCAAACGGAATTGCCAATTATAAAATCCTAACAAATGAAAAACATAAGAAAAAAAGGAAGTGAGAGAGAAATGCAATCCCACTTTTTATCTTTTAAGGTTTTATTCGGTTGAATGATTTGATGAGAGAAATAGAAAGGGAAAAAGGGAAAGAGAAATAGAAAGAAAAGGAGAAAGAATTGATAGAATTTGAATTCCAAGCTACGTTTGGTTAAGTTGGGAATTGAAAAAATAAAAGAGCCTAACTGAACCCAAAACACAAAAAAGTGAGATTGCATTTCCCTCTTATTTTCTTTTCTCTTGTGTTTTTCATTATAACCAAACAAAAAGTGATATTACATTTTCTTTTTCCTTTTTATTTCTTTTATCATATCCTCTAACCAAACACAGTCTAAGCTCTTTTCTTTTTCCATTTCCCAATTCAACGAAACATAACTTAAAATTTGAATCTTATCAATTTTCTTCTTTTATTTCTATTTTTTTTTCCTTTTCATTTTCCTCATCAAATTCTCCAGCAAAATACAACGTTAATATTTTTACTATTCATTACTTTTGCTTTTTTTTTTTTGTTTTTGTCTTGTCTAATGGTTTTGATCCAAGTGATTGAAATTAACTTTAATATTAAAAAAACACATTCATGTATTCTCTTTTGTTTGCCAATAAAACAAAAAACAAAACAAAACAAAACGAAACAAAACGTTTACTGATTAGCCTTCTCGACCAAGTTAATTGACTCCCTTATTCTCACCCCCCCCCCCCTTTGTTTTCTTCCCATACAACATATATTCCTCTGCAATTTTTTTTGGGTTCAATATTCTTCTGTTATTCACTAAAGCGAAATGTTATATGTTGGATAAATTACACTTAGTAACCTTGCATGTTTATCAAAACTTCCGATTGGTTTAATTTTGAAATTTATTTTAAAAGATAAATTATTGAAAAGA